GGAGGGAAAGCCACAATAAATGCTACAGGATGGCCTGGAGGATGAGGTGGTTAGATTCCTGGCAATGAGCAAATCACTCCCAAACTGACCTCTGGCCTCTCCAAAGAAATTAACATGCTGCCAGGGTTATTCATTTTAGTTTCCTGTGCACCCCAGCAACAGCATGTATTATGCATATAATAGTTCACTTTAGGGGAGTGGCTCCCCACCTTTATGACTTGGGAGCCCATAAAATGAAGCAATGTCTACCTGTGTCATCTTGTCACAGCCTAAATGCTAACTTTACTTTTTTTTTCTTTCTTTCTTGGATTGTTCTGTTTGAAGGATTTTCAGTGTAGGAGAGGTAAATGTTTTTCCAGTATTTCACAATACAAATGATCTGTATTTATTTTTATCCTCTTTGTCATCCTTTAGTCATCATGTGACTTCCCAAGTTAAGGATTATTGCTACCTAGAAAAATGTCAGTTTTTCAGCCCTGCTCAGCTCCAGGGATGGCAGTGTTGGTCAGCTGATCCACATCTTTGGCCCAGAGTGGATTATCTCAACAATTAAATGGAGTGCCGTTACATTTTCCATAGACAATCATGTTCCCTTCCAGACTTTGGCAATCCCCTGACTTTTTATCTAACAGCCCCACGTGTCCAGTGAAATATCTCAACATCTATGCAACTTTCAGGTGACTTTTGGTGTTCATTCATTTTCATATATGTTAGAAGAGTTGAAACATGTTTGAGTTGTGAGATTACAGGTTATATCTTCACTGTGCTCATTTTAAAGTGTTAACTTTACAAATAAAGATTAAAAAAAGATTTTTATGGGAGACATTTTGACATAGCACAGTAGGAAAACAGGTGGTGCTGAATTGCATTTTGCTGCTTAGGGTCCTATGTTACACCATCATGACTTACCAGACCACTAATAAAACAGAGACATTGTTAACCTGTGCTTTTCCTCCTATGCCATGTCAAAATGCCTGCTAGAAAAAAATAATCCTACATGATATGTGTTTTCCCCCAGTTCTGAGAACCTATAAATGATATGGTTAGATGAGTTTGTCTTTTTTTTTCCTTTTGAGTAATGACATGCCAATATGGCTGCTGTGAGAAAGGTCTGTTGAACACGTATTCATACAATAAAAAAGGCCGTATGCGCAACATAAACCTTGTCTATCAAGTTCAACATGTTATAACTGGTGGTGACATTTGCTAAAGAAACCACAATAAGTCCATTGAAAGCTGCATGTACTTACATAGTGGTGCGGTGGGCAGAGCAATCGTCTCCCAACCGGAAGGTTGAAGGTTCGAATCTCGGTGCCTGTAGTCCACATGTCGAAGTGTCCTTGGGCAAGACACTAAAGCCCGCAGATGGCTGCCCTCGGTTCTGTACCAGAAACAAATTCCTTGCGTGTAACCTACTTGGCCAATAAAGGTGATTATCCTTGTTAAGTAAAGGCAGGGGGCGACTTCAGCCTGTTGTACAAGATGTAGGCTGCTTGCACACTGCAAAAGATGTGAAATATTTTACCTTGTAATTCAGGTAGTCTTACTCCTCATTACAGTATGTTTTATTCTTATTGAACACAAGCACTTTTGTGTTCAGATTGTCTGTTCTCAATTGCTCATTACAGTCTGTTTTATTCTTATTGAACACAAGCAAATTTGTGTTCAGATTGTCTGTTCTCAATTAGGTTTAATTAGTGAGCGTTTATTTGAACAGTGTCACAAGGATCTGTCTAATTTAGTTATGGAGACATTTCTTTACGGAAATGTTGCAGACAATTCAGACTAACCCCAAATCATCTAAATTTACTGGAAACATGTATTTATTTATCTAAATTTAAATGTCTCAAACTCACTGCTGATTTATTGACACCATAAGAAACGCACATTTCTTGCAGTGTATGACGCGCGGGGGCCGAGCAGAGGGCTGCTCTGATTTAAGTTGCATCTGTATGAATGTTATCACTCTCCGAGAGACAATCGTTGTGAGGACCGCGCTGCGCAGGAACATTCGCTTTGGGAAGTACGGCGGTGTCTCCTCTCCAAACGGTGCGCTCTCCGAAGTAGTGCTTTGCTCTCTGGGACTTGAAGCGGCTGGGACGCAAAATGGGATGCAGAAGTGTGCTGGGATGGTGTTTGCTTTCGGCGCTGTCCTGTTGCCTCCTTCCTGGCTGCAGAGGTAACATAACCGTGGCGGTGATGCTCCCGGACAACTACCATAAGTACCCATGGGCTCTGCCGCGCGTCTTCCCGGCCATCCTCATGGCGCACGAGGACCTGCAGAGCAAACACGGGGTGCTGCTCGACCGCCCCATCAACATTCTCCACTACAGCACCGAGGACCCCGTCGCGGGCTCCTGCGCCGAGAGCCGGGCGCAGGTGGTGGCTGTGGACGCCAAGCTTTACATCCGCCCTGACGCTTTCTTCGGACCAGGGTGCGTGTACCCGCTCGCCTCCGTGGGGCGTTTTGCATCCCACTGGAAACTCCCGCTGATAACAGCCGGAGGACCCGCGTACGGCTTCGACAAGCGAGATGAGTACCAGACCATAGTGCGCAGCGGGCCGTCCACAACGAAGCTAGGGGACTTCGCCAACGTGCTACACACACACTTCAACTGGACGTCCCAGGCCGTGGTGATCTACCACGACCTGCGACAGGACGACAGGCCGCACTACTTCCTCTCGGAGGGGATCTACCTGAACCTGAAGGAGCAGATGAACATCACGGTGGAGGCCCAGCCTTACGAGGACGACTACAAGTACTACAAAGATCTCATTACTTTCATGAAGGAACGCGGGAGAAGTAAGTTTATGCTGAAGGAGAAAGTGATGAAAGTGGAAGTTGTGAATCCTGGGAATCACAACCAGAAACACCATTCCACAAATGCATTTTTAAAAACTTATATGTAGCTCTGTGGTGGTCATACGGCTCCAAAATCCAGCCTACATCACCGCCCGAAAATAAGTTTTAGTGTTTCAAATTGAAATGAAAAAAATCTTTAAGTTTTTCTGCAACTGGCCTTTGGGCATGCGACATTATGCAGGGTCACCAGCTGGTTACCATAAAGATAATGTCAGTGCATGGCGATGGAAACTCGCTTGATCTGAACGATCCGCATGGCAAACAGTTTGGTTTCTTTGTCTTGCGCAAGTCGCCTGCAGTAGATTTACATCTCGTCTTTGGGAGAAATGTTAAATATGTCTATTTAATTTGAAGTATTAATATGAGGTGTTCTACTAAATGTTGCAATGGGAGATCCCGCATTTATAAAATGAGGTCAGAGTACAGCTTTTTCCCAGCAAAGACAAACAGAGGTGGACGGGAATATGCGCAGGGAAATACCTGTTTGTTCCGGAGTTGTTACAGAGGAATGTTTAGGCTGTGGGCAGTCTGCTACTGCTGGTTTATTGCATGCGGAGGACCACCACCTGCGTTTTTTTAAACACAGAGACACAGTGGTCGAGATCAAGTCGATGCCCTCTCAGCCAAAACGTCTTGTATTTGTGGTTCACTTTGCGCGTTCCTGCTGCTGCAGTCCACTTGTACTCAAAACCCAAAAGAGCTTAATCCATTCAGTCTAATCAGTCGTTACAAGCTCATGCTGTGCAATCAAACTTTGATAATCCACATAAGTTTATTTTATATTACCATGGAGATCCAAAGGTCTACAGATATCAAATAAGTCGTTCTGAATAGGAGGAGGAAAAAAAAAAATAAAACTATGCACAAGGCATGTAGAATATATCCCTTTGGTGGCATAGTAAAGTCTTGGGTTTGAATAGTTCACTCAGTGGAAACAGTAGCTTCACTGAAGATATGATGCTGTCAGCACTTTGGAAGATTTTTTCAACCATAAAGCTACTTTATAGGGGTAGTAACAATTCATTTGTAAACATTTCCTCAAATTGCAAAGCATTAATTTGGTTATGATGACAGATTAATCACACAGAGAGCCAGTAAAATAATTTGTCAGTGTTCTCACGTTATGTTTAATTAACTGGAAACAATGTGATACTGACTTAATCCTTACTGCTGATGTGAAAAGTGAATTGTGTGATCCAGAGTCTGGATGATGGCTCCTGCTACACAGCTGCATGTGTGTTTGTGTATGCAGGTTAGCATGCAGGAGTGTGGGAAACAGTTAGTCTGGCTTAGTTAAATGATAGAGAAGATACATCTAGCAGCACAGCTAAAGTTCATTAATTAACACGTTCTTTAATCTGTATGATAAAAAAAAGCTATGGCTTATGGTTTTAGTAAGTGTAACACCTCGGAGATGCTGTGCACAAGTGAATAAACAATGGATAAACAAGTGTTGGTCCAGAAATGGTTCCTCCTAAAACCACAATAAGCCAATTCACATTTATGCACAGATGAATCAAACAAGATTAAAAGTGTTGCATAGTGAGCTTTAGAGGTGTCAGTAGGAAAATCTTCCAATTGTCGACTGAAAGAATTTTCAAGCTTTCAAAGCAGTTTGAGGGATTACATTACATGCTCTGAAGAAAAAGCCTTGTGCCTAACTGAATCATAACCATACTGCAAGTACAGATATAAATGTTGTAATGTTTTTGCAGTGGTGATCTGTGATTTTTGGAAGAGACCTGCCCCCCTCCCAATAAAGGGGTCAGATAAGAAAACACTGATATGAGTTGTTTTCGGAATCAGTTACAAATGCTGTATTTTTTCTTTTAGTCTGAAGAACATATTGGCTCCTGTACAGGTTCAGATAGCACCAGAAACACTTTAGATAACGTGAAAGTTATTCTATCATTGTATTGTGTCATGGCAAGATTATTGTATTTCCAGACTTAATATATTAGTCACATATATGTAATTTAAACAGTAAAGTCTGAGTTAAATGTTAAGATAAGTCAGTTAAAATAAATACAAACAAAATCTACATACAAATATGCAAAATGTAATGGAGGAAAGGCGATTCAAGTCCCTCAGAACTGCGGCGAAGTAGAGTAAATGCGCTTGCCACCTTTTCTTGTTTGCTACAAACCCGAAACACAGTGACGTCACTTTAATGTTTTTCTCAAATCTGAATATTTATTATATTTAGATCCAGTATTCAGAAATGCACCGCTGATCCTGAAATTCGGCTATAGTGCTATAGTGCATGGGTGTATAAGAAATATTTGTTTCCCTGTATTCCTGGGAACATGTGGATGGAATGAGTTGTGGAACCAGCTGAACGTCTCACAGCACAATCTGCTTCCAACCAGTAAAACTTTGGTTGTTATGGTCTCTGGCACAGCAAAGCAAACCCAGTTTTAAACCTCTTAATCTGTTGTTACAGTAACAATGTCAACAAATAATGGAATAAACACAGCATAAAGATAAAGAAAGGA